ATATGCTGTTGTGGAACCACCAAATGTCACTGAGACTGGATCCATCCCATACACCAGTGCACAAGCCGCTGAGCTTGTGGCGCTCACAAGAGCATGTACTTTATATCAAGGACAAGATGTCAACATCTATACTGATTCCAAATATGCTTTTGGGGTGGTACATGATTTTGGCCAATCTGGCAACGCCGCGGTTTTACTACTGCGGATGGCAAGTCAATATCCTATCATTCACTAATTCAGGATTTGTTGGCTGCACTCCAACTTCTGAGAAGGATAGCAGTCATCAAGGCTCATACGAATGCTAAAGACCCAGTTGCAGAGGGGAATGCTATGGCAGATGCAGATGCAAAAGCTGCAGGGCAATTGCATAATCGAGCAGATTTAACTATGGTAATGCTGTCTACCCCATCACTACTGTCAAATGAACTTTTAAGTACATTACAGGACCAGGCTTCTGAAAGTGAAACTGAATTTTTGGCCAGTAGAGGATTGACACAAGACAAAAATGGTCTTATGTCAAAAGAGGGGATTATGGGATTACCACAAACTGCCACTGTGTTGTTTACTCAAAATTTTCATGGAGTAGGTCATAAAGGAAGACATTTGGTGGAGCAGGAAATGCGCAAATATTTTTGTGTATGGTTTCTACATGATTTGGTCCAACAAACTCTGGGCAGATGTCTCATTTGTTTATAGAATAATCCTGGGAATGTCCGACACGGAAAACATGAACATTTGATACCCCCTGAAGCACTCACACATTTACAAATAGATTTTACACATCTTCCCAAATCAAGAGAAGAAGATAAGTTGTTGGTGGTGTTGGACAGATTTTCAGGGTGGCCAGAAGCTTTCCCATGTAGGAAGGCAACAGCTGATACAGTGATCAAGGTTTTGTGTAAGGAAATCATTCCCAGGTGGCGTTGTCCCCTAGTGATAGGGAGCAATCAGGGGCTGGCCTTCACTGCAGTAGTGACCCAAGGAGTTTCAGATGCATTGAGTATCCAATGGAAGTTCCATATTCCATATTATTTATTTATTTCAGGTACTTATATAGCGCCGTCAATTCACGCAGCGCTTTACATATATATATATTGTACATTCATACATACTACACTCAAAGCTCAGGAGTAGTGGAAAGAATGAACAGGACCATTAAGGATAAGTTAGCTAAGGCTACAGGGGGAACTTTAAAGAACTGGTTAGCTCTATTGCCTGCTATGTTAGCTGAAGTCAGGATGACTCCTCATAAACGGAGCAGGTTATCTCCTTTTGAGATTCTGATGGGAAGACCATTTCCCACCCCATGGACAAGACAACAGCCCCCTTTATGGCAAAAGGGTGATTTAGAGATGATACAGGCAGAGTATGTGAGAGCATTAAGTGAGAAATTGAATAGTGATTATGGTGGTGCCTCGGCTTCTTTTTTTCCATTACCCACAGGTCAAAAGAAACACCCTTTCAAGTTGGGAGATCAGGTGGTGATCCGGAGATTGGATCCAAGGGCAAGACCTCGGTTTGGAGAACCTACGGTGATTGTGGCCATTACCCAAACAGCTGTTTTCACAGAGGGATCGGGCACCTGGGTCCATGCATCAAGAGTCAAAAGGATTTCCTAAAATAAAGGACACGATCAGGATGATATGACAGCTGAAGGAGTCAAAACCCAAAAATCTGATGTCTAACCTACTGGACCCCTATGAGGACAGGAAACGGTGGCACTGCAGGGTCGGGTGGCCGTTTATAAACGGCCTCCCCGCACCCTGCTTGTGCGCGCTCCCCAGAAGCGCGCAGCACCGCAATCCGGTGCCTACTGTGTCCTCCGGGCACAGTGAAACACCGATCGTTGGACAGGACCGCTGTACAAGGTCCCGATCACGTGATCACTGATTGGCCAATCAGTGATCACATGCAAAGTAGTAAGCAAAATGTCACTTCTGACATCATTGCTTACTACGTGTGAAATCTGTGAATGATCAGAGGTCACATGGTACAAGGCTATTCACAACAGCCTTGTACCATGTGACAAGCTGTGACCAATCACAGCTCACTCAGTAGTTCTCAAAGGCTGCAATAATGCAGACAGAGAGAAAGAGAAATGATTGCTTTTACATCCTATATGGTTGTAAAAGCAATCAGTGTAAAAAAAAAAAAAAAAATCTTCATCACCCCCCAAAAGTAGTGCAGTGTCACCATGGTGACACTGTACTGCTAGGGTGACAGTAAGTAAAAAAAAAAATTATGATAAAATAAGTAATATAAAAAAAATAAAAATGTAAAAAAAAAAATGTTTAAAAATGATAATTTTTGCTTATAAACTAATTTGGCTTATTTTTTTTTTTTTTACTAAAAAGATAGCGGAATAAATTTTGGCCAAGATTTATGATGAAATATTATTTATTTGCAAAATTTTTTAAGAAAAACACAACATTTTTGGACATTTTCATTTACATAGCAAAAAAAAAAATAAAAAATCCAGCGGTGAATAAATACCACCAAAATAAAGTTTTATCTGTCTCAAAAAAATGGTAAAAAATTCATATGGGTACAGTGTTGCATGACTGCGCAATTGTCATTCAAAGTGTGATAGCGCTGAAAGCTGAAAATTGCCCTGGACAGGAAGGGGGTAAAAGTGTCCGGACTGGAAGTGGTTAATGACTATGGTCATTTTTCCACTATGGTTTGTGATGAAGAGTTTATATGAAAAAGAGGGATCAGTTGTTCAAAACCCCCCTGGGAGTTCAGGATGGGTGGGTTTGTACCTCATCACAACCAGATAAAAACAGAACATGCACTATATTAACATGGAGCAGTCTCACGGTCAATGCCAGATAGACATTGTTACCAGATATAAATCTCACATATTGTAGTGAAGGGATATGATTTTTTTAATTGATTTTTCTGGGGTATTTATTGATTATGTGTATGAGAACAAGAGCTAAGGAAAGGGAATATGAAGAAATGCGTGGTGTTGAGGTAACTGGAGAGGAAAACCAGTAAGGAGTGTTATCACTTAGTGATAAAAGAGGGGACTGAAAGGATAACATGATCAACTCCATTTTGTTTTATAATATGTTTGCTTTATAATCTGCGATCTTTATACACCCTAAATGAAAAAGTATGTTTTACAGGAAAATAACTGTGCTTGCAAGTTTTTTGAGGAAGTAATTTTCGGTAAGACAGTAACCGTAGTCCGGGCGTAGCACCAAAATCATGAGTTAGTCTGACCACAATCATCTGGCCAGACGATAGTTTGCAGATAGTTCTGCAAAGTTCTGCAAAGTTTGATGACAACTAAGGTGCAATACTAAAGATAACATGCATGGATTTGATTGGTTGATATTAAAAGTTGGTCATTAATAATCTGCCTAGAGTCTACAGATTTATATATACGCTGATGTTTCTGCAATAAGGTTGAAGTGTTTGCAATGGACTTTGGTGTTGTGTGCAATACATTTCCCGATATCTTAGCTATCGCTCAGGTGTAACCGGTGGGGGCCCCCATTGAGAGGAAAAACTCATCACCAACCCCATAATCTATGTTCTTTTACTATTTACAACTGCAACATGCTGTACAAGCGCAGAATTTTTGGTGAGGATTCTCCCTCCTTCCACCTTCATTTTCAATGAGATGCAACATGGCCCTTTTCAGAAATGCTTTATTTCCAGGTCCTATACAATGTTGCTGTACATGTATGTAGCTTCTTACCCTTGTAGAATGGCAGAAAAGTGGGAAGTGGATTTAGGAGACTTACCTGGTGAGCAATGGGAGAAGGCACTGGAGGCGCTCCTTGAACACATCCCAATGAATGTCTCAGCTGTATATCCTACTGAGGGTAAACTATACTCCACTAAGACTGTCTAAAATGGATGCTCACCACTACGATTTGCCCTAAATGCAGCAGGGATCATGGCACATTAATTCATATGTTGTGGTGATACCCTAAACTGCACATGTACTAAAAGGAAGTATTTCATACTATCAACCGAGTATTTTTTTACTAATTTAAACTCTAGACCCTAAATGTATCCTGGGTATTATTGATGACATGGTGATAGATCAGTTTATGGGGGAGGCTCTGTTGGAGCATTGTTTCAGGCCTGCAAGGTGATACTGTTACACTAGAACAGTACTTCCTTCCTACTCTTAAAGAGTGGGTGGAGCATATGGGCATCACTCTCAGATATGAGAGGGTTATTTTTCAACACCGGGGATATTTCAAAAAGTTTAATAGAGTATGGGGGTAGTAGGTTGGATGTTCCGGGCCTTGCTCCGGTGGACCTGTTATGGATAGGCTGTTTGGTTGATATTTCAGAATACAGCTTGTGCGGATACCTGCTGGACCATGTCATTGTATTGAGTGTATGTCTTGAGTCATTTATGGACACTGTATTGTGAAAAATTGGAATGTTTCTTCTTTTCTTTTGTATGCTCGGCTTTTGTCTCAATAAACCTTTTCTTGACAAAACAAAAACAACTCATTGTCAGTCATTTGTTTTATTTTAATCCAAAGAGTAGATTTGAAGCATGAGAGCACTTTTTACGCTTTTTTGTAGAGAGGGCAGTAATACATTTCCTGATGACAGGAGATTAATTATTATTACCAGGTGGATAATGTTAATGCATTGAAGCTCTATAGTGTTATAATGTACTCACATGTAATGCCATATAAGAATTTGACATGCCATAGAGCCTGAACTCCTCAATGACAGTCTGGTTGCAGAGCTAACACGGCTACATTGTACATTAATCCTGACACTCCAGAAGATATGAATAAGAACTATAGTAGTTACATACAGGTGCATCTCTACACCAATGTTTTCTGTTCATGTGATGGTCTTTTTTTCAGATCTGTATGTTATTAGTCTCAATCAATAATGTATATATTATATTATTTGTATATGTGTATATATATATATGTATATATATATATATATATATATATATATTATATATTTATTTATGAAAACAGTTGTACACCTATGTTATACATTTTCAGGTTTTGCAGAACTTCAAATGGATAGAGAAGTTGTGAACTTTGAGGCATTGGGAACCATTCCATTCTTTGACTACAAACATTTTGCTTTAAAAACATTTTTTCCTGAGGTAAACTATTTTTTAATATATCATTTAACACATAAAATGAAAGCTGAACTCCAAGCAGTCCTAAAAACATCACCCTCTGGGGAAATGTCCCCTGACTTCCAGTGGCATACAGAGTATTGCTGAGAGCTGGACTTACCTTTTCTCCTTTGTATGTAGTCTATAAAATGCTTTGAAGAATCCACCAGGGGCTTGTGTTCCTGGCTCCCTGGTAAATTTGGGATCAAGAAAAAGTGTGTGTGTGTGTATAAATAGTGCATATACGTGTGTGTTTGTGTATGTATATATGCAATATATATATATAAAATATATACACACACACACAGTATAACAGTATATATATACTGTATATGTGTATATATGATCACATATATACACATATACAGTAATCATGTAATATCAGTAATATATATCATTACATATCATGTAATATGTCCATTAAGTTCCATTGTACCAACACAATGCTTATTTATGAAAAACATATACAGTCCTTTTAGGGTGACAAAACCATTTAAGGCATACAATACTCTGTTTCCAGATCCATAATTTGTATGGATGGAACGATGGAACAGTATTGTATGCGATAGACCTATTAACCCCTTTGCGCCTAAGGGTAAAACAAATCTAAAACCCTAAGCACAATTTTGCAACTTTGACATGTGTTATTAAAACCGTACATATCATCACAACTATTTTGTGCATCCAGGTGGATACCTTGTTTTTTTTTTTTTCAGGAAAAATTGGGCTTTCATTTGGTGGTGGATGATAATGGATAATGGTTTTTGTTATCAAAGGAAAACTGGCCCAAAATAGTACAAAATATATATTTTTTAAATGTAGCTGTATTATTCTGGCTACTACCATAAGCTACCACCAAACAACAACTCAAAATAAATTTCCCTGCTCCTGACGATCGCAGCGCTACCACATGTGTGTATGTGTGCTGTTTGTACCCATAGTACAGCCCAGAAAAAAAAAGTGCACATTATGCTTTTTTATCCAGCCTAAAATACACTGACACTAAGTGGTTTATTTACAAAACCTGAAGAGGGCAAAATCTGGTGCAGCTCTGCATAGAAACCAATCAGCTTCCAGGTTTTATTGTCAAAGCTTCATTGAACAAGCTGAGGTTAGAAGCTGATTGGCTGCCGTGAAAAGCTGCACCAGATTCTGAGTAAACCAGCTTTAGTAAATCTCCTCCTAATTGACACTGATACTAATTTAAAAATTAAAAAAAAAACCTGACTAAAGAAAATACTGACCCTGGACTTTATTTTTTTAATTTTATTTTTTTATTATTATTTTTTATTTTTACAGCGATAAGGTGACCCAGAATCGGGAGTTCCAGGTCCCAATCATTACTACCAGACTTGGGGCTGTCAGTGAGATCCCGGTTGCTGTGCTGGGAGCATGCCATGCATCGTGCTCCCAGCACAAAGACAAGTACACAAATGTGCAACCCCATGGAAAAAAACCCCAGTCCAGTGGGGCCACATATTTGTGTACGGTCGGTGTGAAAGGGTTGAACTGCTCCATTTTTGTCCATAATGACTTTAGTTTGATAGTTGTTCTGCACCGCTACCACATGAGTGACTCAGAAGGACCTGTAAACATTACTGTGTAATCAGCGGCGATGGCACAGATGCACAATATACACGGTGCTGTAAACGGACATAAGCAGATGTTTGTTCCTATGCAGCATGGACAACTTTTTATGCAAGATCTTGCTGTCAGCAAAATCCTGTGTAAAAAAAAATTATTTTTTTTAATGTTCAGTCAGACAGAGCTAGCAATAGGATAGTTACATTAAAAATAAAATTAAATAAACATGGGTTTAAAAAGCAGTCAAATCAGTATACACAGGCATGCTGTGTAAAGATCAAAAGTACAAGCTAATGCACAAGTGTTGATGACAATAGGGTATTAGACTATGTGTAGGATAGTACATATGCATAAACTGGAATTTTATGCAAGGAGCATAAATCATTATAAATAAGGATTGTACATATTGTAACCATCTAGGCCAGGAAGACGCCTGGTAGCCAGTCAGTCTCCGTAATTGATCAGAAAATAAGGATGAAAAGAAGAAAACAAAAACAAAGGCAGGAAAAAGGAAAGAGAAGAAATAAAGAATAGAAGGAGGAATCCCAAGGGTCTGTAGCATGGGGTTATTAGATCAACAAAAGAGTATTGTCAAATTGGGATGGCTGGCCATGGGCAATCCAGAGTTGCCACACCCAGATAAATTTCTAATGAGCTTGATAGTATAGCTGTTAATTTTTCATTAACAATAATATTGTTCATGCGGTTTTTGACTGCTTAAAAACTAAGGATTGGAGTTTTCCATGCTCTGGCTATAGTCAGTTTGGTAGCAGTAAAAAGATGTAATGCTAATTGTCGTTCATGCAAAGTAATTTTGCAGTCAGTTTACAGAGAAGGGCCTCATATGGATTCCTCTTGAGGTCAATGTGAAACAAGGTGTAGAGTTGCGCATAAACCCAAAACCAAAGTCTGCGCACCTTCGAACAAGACCACCAGATATGTGTCATTGTGCCCACCTGTGTGCATCCTTGAGAAACAGTTGGTGAATGAGCAGGAATAGCTGGCATATAGTACCATCTGTACAAGATCTTATAGGAATTTTCCAAAATAAGTACATTCTTAGAGCTCTTGGATAGTGTCATGATCTGCCAATCTTCTGGGTCCAGACGTACTCCCAGTTCACTTTTCCACTGGAGATGGTAAGACCGTAATGGAGGTTTTCTGGAGTTTATTATCGAGGAGTAGATCAGTGAAATAAGGCCAGAGGAGCGAGGTCAAGCTCTGCAGAGACTCTCAAATGGGGTTAATGTATAGGGAGTAGGCTGAGATCTAAGATGTTCGGATATAAAGTGGCAGAGTTAGAGATACCTATAATGCTCCTATATTGGGATGTCATGTGAAGATCTAAGGGCATCAAATGTTAGAAGCCTAGTAGGGGTAAGGAGGAAGTATATATCGAAGAACCCATGGTCAGTCCACCAAGAGAACTGTCATGGATTTTCAAGTCCTGGAGGAAACATTGGGCATTGAGGGATCTGTAACAGTGGGAGATGAGGTGAGATCAGGCCCACTGAAAATTTGACCAAGTCCCACATTTAGAAGGCGTGTAGTAAGACTAGATTAAGCGTTGGTGGGCAAAGTAGAGAAGATAAAGGTATGGGATGGGAGTCTACAAGATCTATAGTGGCCCACAGCAGCAGTTGATTGGTCTCATATAAATGAGACAGAGGAGCAATGGTGGCGGCTAAATAATAAGCCTGAAGGTTCAGGACTGAGAGGCTGCCATTGATCTTAAAGATGACATTTTTTATTAAATAAATATTACTTAAAACAGTCCAAATTATTTTGTAAAATTAATTTCCCACAATAGGACATTTTCTATACATGATATTTACATGACATATTTAATCTTACATTTGCTAAATAATCTACTTTTATATGGCTAATCTATACATTAGACTTCATAAAAGATGCTGGTCTGTTTAGTTTTTTTAGTCCGTTCTCAAAACTAAACAGTTACGCTTCCATAGGAATATTACATTTCTATGGGCACCTTGATCCCAGCATGATGAAAATAAGTTGTCCCTGAGACAATGACGAAACAACAAAAGCAATAGCCTGTATTGATTGACAGTCCAAAATGTCAATAATGGCAGTATCTGTGCTGTCAGACTCAAGCAAAACTGCTTGCAATTAGTATGGACCTTCAGGCCCCAAGGAGAGAGATGTGCCATCTGTCTATGAACAAATTTATAATTCACTTACAACAGTAAACTAATAAAAGACTGTATGCAAATACCTCTAAACTATAGAGTCCAGTACACTAAAAATGCAATGTTTTGTCAAACTTGTTTCTAAGAAAAAAATATATACATTTTAAAGTGGTTTATTGTAAACTTTAAAAAAATTAAATTTTCTGTGTTCTCTTTCAGTCTGATGGAAACCGGCAGGACTTAAGTGAAAAATTGTGTGAAAATGTTCCTTCAGTAAGTTGAGACCTTGTGGTTTAAGTGTAATAGAAGAATACTATACATATATATCCAAGTCTGAAGTTTAAACATGGTTGATTAGAGATGAAAAATGCAAAAAGAGCAGCTTGTGTGAAAGCAGGCCTGAGTGTTCTTGTTAGCTGGATATGCCATCTAGTTGCACCACAGAAGCCACCCCAGAACCATATGAAAATTAAGACTATTTAGAAAGCTGAAGTCTAAAGTAAACCTGTGACTATGCATACTAATGTTTTTCTTATATTCTGAAAAAGCAGATAAAGCACTTTAAAATATGTCCTTATTCACCTCTGTAGCTGTAGGCTTTGTGGAGAAAGTTCACAACAGAGGCACTAAAATCACACTTTCTTTACCTTTAGGCCTTTTTCACATGGGTGCCTGAGCCCATGTGACCTAAATTCTGGTGTTTTCCAAGAACAGAACATGTTTTATTTTTGAAGCTGTCTGTATTCTATTCTTGTGTTTATACAAGCACCAGCATATTTACTTATAATCCTGGCCTGGTGGTTGTGGGGGTCTGTGGGCAGGGGGCTTATCAGATTCTGAAGGCCCCCTTTAACCACTTCAAGTCTGGACACTTTTACCCCCTTCCTGTCCAGGCCAATTTTCAGCTTTCAGCGCTATCACACTTTGAATGACAATTGCGTGGTCATGCAACACTGTACCCATATGAATTTTTTAGCATTTGTTTGAGACAGATAAAACTTTATTTTGGTGGTATTTATTCACCACTGGGATTTTAATTTTGTTAATGAAAAAGTCCAAAAATGTTAAAAAAAAGCATTTCTTATAAAATTTTGCAAATAAATAATATTTCATCATAAATCTTGGCCAAAATGTATTCCGTTATCTTTTTAGTAAAAAAAAAAAAGAACCCAAATGAGCTTATAACCAAAAATT